ATATATATATATAAGATGCGTTTGCACATCTGCATGGATCTAAAACACTTTTATTAGTATCATCTATCTAGTGTTTTGTGCAGCCAATTGTGTGTTGTCTGCATCTCTGTGTTGCAAATGACAAATTCTGATGTAATGGTTCAGTAAAACAGGTGACGTAATGTACAGTGCAGTACTGAATCAAATGAGCTTAGCCTGCACAGACCTATTTCACTGCTGCCAGTACTCTGGATGCACATACAATAGAGCCATATATTTATGCTTATGGCGGATATTAAACAAAGAAAAATAAACTGTTGCAAGCCCAGGCACGTCCCTGTACATTTCCATAACACGAGCCATTGCTATTCTGCTATTCACCACATCAACACCCCTCCTCCTCCCCTTGTTTGTCTTTCTTCGTTGCTGCCGCTGCTGGCATGTTACCAGGCGAGATACAGCTCAGATGGCGTGCCTCTCTTTATGATTGGCTGGTTGGAGAACGCTGGGCGTGGCCTAGCACACCCTATATAAACATTGTTGCAGGACAGATCACAGCGTACCAGCTGGCGAGAGTAGGGAGGTAGGGGACGGCAGTTTCTAGATAGTTGTTTTTGCTGACAATAACAGCTACTTTCAATACGGATAAACAGATTCTACCTGCGCCCTTGTGAAAAAAAAAATGTAAGTACTATGTTTCAGTTGCTAAACTTATTAGCTTTTTTGCTAATTTGAGCAGATAAACAGCTGCTAAACAAAGATGTTCTTTTAAACCTGTTCTATTCCTACATTCCTAAATAGGTTTTGAATTTGCGTTACAGTGTGTCATTTATCCGGAGATTGAGTACTTATCTGATGTTTTTGTTATCTCAGTTGACTGGAGAGCCACCTGATACTGTTAAACACTGCAAAGAGGACAAAGATGCCTGCTCTCTCTGCACACACTGATTTCGGTAGCTCACCCCCTTCACCAGTGGACAGCAGTGCCAGGAGGCTGTCCTGGAGCAAACTGGTACAAAGATTGACAGATTTCAGCACATCTGCCAACAGCAGCAGCATTGACTCCGGGTCCAACAATGGCAGCAGGAGTGATCTCTCAGATTCAGGTAAGCAATGCTGCAAACATGCCTAACCCTTGGTTATAGATGAACCTGATTCTCCTCTTAATGCATGGTTCAAGTTCTCACCCATTGTGTTTTATCAATAGGGTCAGATGTCTCCACTGATCTGTCTCCATATAATGAAGACCTGTTCTACGATCCAATGGAGGAGACAATATTGAAAGAAGTAGTGGACCTTATTGCACGAAGCCTAAGAGAAGCCAAAGACTCAGATTGCGCCTTACGATGTACCAAACTGCTCATCCCCGAGAAACTTCTGGAACATATTGGGCAAGAGCTCCTTCACCTGGCAGCTAGTGAGCCCTGCGGTTTGAGAGGGGCTCTCATTGACCTTTGTGTGGAGCAAGGGTCCACCTGTGAAAGCATGGGACAGCTATCTGTGGACCCCTACCTTGTCCCCACCTTTCAGCTGACTCTGGTATTGCGGCTAGAGTCGAGTGGGCTCTGGCCTAAAATCCAAGGACTATTTAGCACAAAGTCTCCTTCCACTCCAGTAGTGAGACAAGCTATTAAACTTAGCACTGGTTTCCGTGTAATAAAGAAGAAACTGTATTGTTCTGAAGAACTGCTCATTGAGGAATGTTGAAAAATTCAAGGGGGCATCAATGTTTTATTATCTGCATTTTTAAAATGTCTAGTTAAGCTCACAGAAGGGCCTTATTACTTTACAAGTATATGATGCCTTTTGAAATGTAAGGATGGACTCATGATGTAGCCCATTATTCCTACTGTAAGGGAGTTTATGGTACCTGGAACAAGTGTTTAGCGCTGGCTCCTCATTGTTCTTCAGATTTCAGAGTACATTTTCAAATTGTGACATGTAACCATCACATTATATCTGGTAAATAGGTGTTTTGCAAGTATTAAAAATGCATACCTCCAGTTCCTATTGAACCATACAGTGGCAGCTACCTATATGGTTATATCCACTGAAGACCATACATGGCCGTTAATTTAACTGTAAACAAAGCAGACCATTAAGGACCACAGTGACTGCTGGAAGTCAAGAGCAGAATAGCTGCAACTTGAGCCTGTGTGCGCATATAACCTGTCCTGTTTTCCACTTTATTTGACATTCAAATACACATAACATTGCACTGTTTTTGTACTTTAATGATTGCAATAAATTATTTTTTTTAAACAACTGCCTTTTCTACCATCTTATTTCACAAAACCTGTCACATTGAAATAATCTATAGCTAGTGTGCATCCAAGTTCAGGTTTCCTATTGAAATTTGAGAAAATAAGTTTGTTATTATATACAGAAATGTATAATGATTTTTGACAAACTATTCCAATGCTAAGATTTCTGTTGCAATGAGGAATATACTATATTGTCATATAGATGGGCTGGCAGGCACAGCGTGTGTAACGGTGGCGAAAAATGTGTGAATCTGCACGTTAATAGCAGGAAGCAGATGTGCAAAGCCTGCAACACCAGCTGAGTACATTTGCTGTGAATGAATGTGACGCAGGAGTTCCTGCCAAACACATTCTGCACGTCTCACAAAAAGTGAACATGCGCACAGCCATGTTTCCAGTTCCTGGTGTCAGCTAGCCAGCCAGCAGGGCTTTTATGAGCCAGATGTGCTGACTAAGCATTTGTCTCCACATTTCTGTGCTTGTTCTTCTCAGAGGGATGAATCACACATTTAACATTCATATTTATTTTCATCTGGGAGTAAAAATCTGGTGGGAAAAAGTGAACCAGCTCTGTATAAGTTTCTTAGTCTGATAATACATTTTAAATAAATACAAACAATAAAGTGCATACTATAAACTTAAAAATTGTGACAAATTCCTTTATCCAACAGATGATGTTCATCAGAGACATTACTCTCCAAAACCAGAATCTGTTAAAGTAGGTAGGCACATCGCTCATTCTCTTGGCATGTACTGTGAAGTGCCATCATGTTATCCTATAAAATGCCATCCTTAATACAATTAACAGAGGCAAAATGTAAAGGGACATTTACTAATTGCTATCTCGCACACACATGGCAGAAGAAGAAGAAGAAGAAGACTACTCTCAGGTGTTCAAGTGTCAAACCTTAGACATGAATGTATATTCATCAGAGGTTTCATATTTTTCCTGCATAGTTTAAGAATATGCTTTGAAGTCAAATCAGCAAATTCCCCTCAAACACCTCTACTGATTTGACTGCATAAAATTAAAAAGGAAGCATTTACTGTTTTATCTAATCAACTGCTACATAAATAACATCTTAACAACTAAATCTTATCAAACTAGGTTCTGGTTTCAGACTGAGGCTGATCTCTGCCAGCTTCATGGTTTCCACTCAAAACTGGGGTTTGGATATGTTCCAAACCTATATCTTGTCATTAGGACAAGCTATTTAAAACCATTTTTCCATTTTAAAACATTAGCCCATTAATTTTACATACTAAAGGTCATAGCAACCAGTTTGTGTTGTCACTTTGATGCAGACTGGTGCTGGTTTGTTTGTGTTGCTTGTGGAGTCACCTTCAGTCTCCAGACTGTGAAAGCTCGTCTATTTACAGCAAATGATCCCTTATGTTGTTGAATCTGGAAACTTGGAGACAGAAAACAAAATCAAGAAAATATTGACTTAATGAAAGGAACATGCAGAAAGTCAAAATGCAAAGTGTGTTTATGAAATGAGAACAATGACTTGGTCTGGGGAACTTACTTTAATTATGAAAGCAGCCTCAAGCATGTAATGAAGCTGTGATCTCAGACAGCTTGGCGCAGCTTGGTGTGCGAGCCTTCTGTGCTCTTTGGTACAGATCAGTGTCTCCAAAATAGCGAGCTCTGTATAGCATGCCTTCCTCTGCAGATAACAACAAACACAATTCATGAAAAATACGGGAGGAGTAATAATAATCAGGATATGTAATGTCATTTTCCCACAACCAATGGTCAATATTGTTAAATAAACACAGAAGCAGAATGTGTTTCTCTGGCAAACACACTTTGCTGTTTCTCCTTCCAGCAATTGTTGCGAAGGTTGGAAATGTAGTCATCCTCCACCGTCCTCTCCAAGTTCTTCAGATTCACTCCAGTGAACTCTTTGGAGAACTGCTCCCCCACATAGTATGGCACTTTCAGGTTCTCAGTCAGCCTCTTCTGTGTATAACCTCCTGACCTGCATGAAAATAGGACAAAGTGTGGGAGAGATATCATATGATCGAGCACAGCACAGGACGACAGATCTGGCACCATCTGTCTTTGATAAAATGACTCCTAGCTGATAATGCCTCACAGACAGGCCAGAAACTACAGAAGTGTATCTGAAACACAAAGGCAAACAGCATGTTGAGAGGCCAGATACAAACGGAGTCAGCAGTCCTTGCAAACACAGAAGGGATCTGTGATTATTTGGATCTAACTGAGGTAGCATCAACCACAGTCACCATTCTACACTCAACTGTGCATTAAAATATATAAAATATAACAATTAATAAACATGGAATAAACACGGTTGGGATTATGCTGAATTTTACAAAACATGAAGATAATCTTTTGTCTAAACAATAAATTGGATTATTTAACTTCCTTATTAAGCACGCATTCAGAACAAGGATCACACTCACGGCCTGAAGCTGAGGCTGTAGGGGGGGCTGCTGACCATTATCTGGCTGAGAGCTGACACAATAACCAGGATGAGGATGGGCATGACCTGCACAAACACAGCAAGACCGCCCTGCAAAAGAACATATTGCAAACAAATTCACCCCTCTCTTTCTAAGACACTTGAATATCGCTTAATGCATTTCAAATGATAACATTTTAGATGGTTAAATGTCTCCCCCTACTGTTTAATATGACAACATACAGTACATCATTTTCAAACCTGCACTCTTGCAGTAGCTCTAATAACAGCCTGAAACTTACATCTCGTTGTCGCTCTCTTCTCTCTCGCCTTTGGTAACGCATCCTGCCATTAGCGTACACATTACCATCACCTAGATGAATGTAGCACGTGTTAATAGAGAGATTATACAGCAACTAGAATTACAGTGAAAATATTGTATCTCACAAGCTTGGCATGAAAACACAAAACAGTGACACTAACTTGCTGGGTAACCTCCTCCAAAGAACATGTTAAATAGGTCTTCAGGTGAAATATCTGGCTCAAAGTTTCTGTTATCTGGACCGTGTCTTGAAGGGTGTTTTTTCTCTTCTCCACATTGATCATACTCCCTTCTTTTGGCATTGTTGCTGAGAACAGCATACGCGTTGCCAATAGCTGTCGGAAATGATAAATTATGGCGTAAAGACAGGCTTGAGCATCACAAAGAAGGGCTTAAAAAAGACTCCTTTATTAAAAGTCTAAATGGGCTCTCTGCTTTCCGCATGACACAAACCTCAGTGTTGAATGAAATTTCATGCAGGTTACCTTTAAATGCCTCTGTTGCACCTGGAGCATGATTCTTGTCTGGATGGAATTTCAAAGCAAGTTTTCTATATGATCTTTTGAGTTCGTCCTCAGAGACATCTTTCTGGACTCCAAGAATTTCATAGAAGTCTTTACATTGTTTTATTCTGTGTAGAGAACACATGTTACTTAATGTCAGTGTCCTTCTCACGACACTGGATTTCCGTGCTAATGTGAACGCATGTACCTCCTCACAGCTTCCAGCTGATCTGCCGTATAGGGTTTTGAGGTGTCCGAGGGCTTTTCTTCAGGCCTGGTGTCCTCACTGGTGGTCTGTCGCTGTCGAGGGACTGTGCCCCCACCAACGTCTGCATGGGCTCCTTGTCTAGGCATAAATCCATTCTTTGCTATTAGGTCCAGCAGTACTAGAAGGCACAGAATACCAGTGTTTAATATTTAACGATATTCAGGTGCAGCAACAGGTGGAAAGTACTGTAGACAAGACCACTGCTCTGTAAAACATTGCACTTGTATTCCCTGTATTAAAAGATGATATAATAAGGATCCTCACATCAGCAGATAATGTAACACAAGTCCATCAATTACAGAAAGGGATTGTTGAATGGAGTGCAAGATTATTACAACTGTCACATAAGAGCTTAAACTCAGTATTGTCAGAGGAGAAACTATGGTAGCCTTTAGAAATCTCTGATTATCTTGTATTACTGTTTTCTCTTTTTGTGGCACTTTTTAATTTGGATTTTATGACCAATGGAAGCGAACTGAATTTAGACAGGTGTTCCAAGTTAACCCACAGGACTCAGAGATATTCATAAAACTCAAATAAAATGCCATTTCATATCCAGATTCCTAAATACCACAATATGTTTATGCGATGTCATTGTAAAGATGACTGCTGCAGATTTTTTACAGCCAGAAATGTTTTGCTCAGGTACAATAGTAAAGCTTTGAACCAACAGTATCATAATGCTTCCCTAACAGCTAGCTATTGTGCTATCGAAGGCCCCAGATACATGCCCCGCAGAGCTCATCCGCGATGCAGGTGATGCTGCATGTGATGATGCTGCATAACGTTAAAGCTCCTTAGCTAAAGCGCCCCTTTACTTCAGCACGGCCATATAAACTCACCCTTGGCTTTCTCTGTCGGGAAGAGTCTCTGTGCCTTCTCCAGGAACCTTTTTGCCTTCTCCGGCTGGTCGTTGGTTAATGCCACAGTTGCAATATCAATGCAGCGCTCCGCTTCTTCCCTGTTTACTTCCATTGCAGCGAAGCAGCGGCTAACTGGACCAGAAGTAAATAAATGCGCCTGTTGATGACGTCATGGGGAAACTGCAAAGAGAAAGAGTATCAGATGGTGACATAAATTTGTCAGTGTGTGACAGTTTTTCTTTGGTATCAATAGATTTTGGACATAGTTTAGCGCTGCTTGACCGATACGAAGATGGTGTCGGTCTCCTGTGTTACTTAATTTCTCCTCTAGATGGCGACAAATTGTTTTCAAATGTAGGTCACGCAAATGAAAATCCGTGGATGTGTTAATCATCTTTCATTTGTCTGCAACCGTGCCCTCAGTTCAACACCAGCTCAGGTCATGGACGGAAAACAATAGGTGTCTGGGCACACACACGTAACCCACCTCTCCTACATTGTAACTGAGTAATCATTTATGTAATTCTTTTAAGCAAAAATGTTAAAAACTCACTTATTACAGTTTCTCCACCCTGAATGTCTGCTAGAAATAACCCACCAACTTAAAATTACATTTTTACACAAGCTCCCTCTTCAAGACCACGAGGATGGAGGACCCATCAGAGCTGATACAGTAGGCTACTTCAGTGGTGCAAATGTCTGACCAATTTGCAATTGAACACATTTTATGGCGTAAATAAAATGGCATGAGCCAGGATTTGGGGGCCCTTGGTTGGGGTGGCTGGGCATTTGCCGTTTGACATGGTTGGTAATCCATCCTTGCCAACAACTCTGTAGTCGTCAAAAGTGACTTACGGACCCAAATATACAGTACTGTAATATTTTACTGGCTATAATATTACTTTAAGGTTTATAAGCTATCATATACAAACCATCTGATGTTTATTTTATAACATTGTGGAGGGAGGCAGGGACGACGACGTGACAGAGCAAGCATCCCTACTCTTTCTCTGTGTGAGTCGATGTGGGTTTAGGTGACTTGTCTCTTCATCGTTAAATTTTGCATCTCTCCGCTCTATCGTGCTGCTGCGGACTCAAAACGTGGAGTGACGTACAGTACGAGCTCCGTTAATTCGATACACGTCTAGACAGTAGCAGCTGTTCTTCGGGGGAGGTAAATATACATCTGGTAGCGGAATGAATAAAAGGTGAACAGCAGACAATGAGGCAGCCAATCAGAGCCCGAGCTCGAGGCGGCATCCCGAGCGCTGATTGGCCAATCGCTACCTCCAGCTCCAAGCCTCATTGATGCGTTTTCTGCGGAGCTGTCTGTCAGTCTCCCATGTAGTTTTGGGATAAACAGAGCAACCTTATCTCCGAGCAACAGGAATATCATTCTTGCGTATTTTCCTCTTCTTTGGTGAGTTGTTTAATTATCTTTTATATATATTATACAAATGTAACATCAGCATTATGCGAGTGTCGTGTGTCAGATGTGCGCATCACCGTTATTACCATCCAGCTTTAAACAAGTAGCATTCAGGTTTAGCTAAACGGCACAAATATAACGTGAGTTGACATATTCACTGTGTGAGCAGGGCGTGTTAGCCTCCATGATGTTAGCGCATCAAAAAAACATCGAGCTGACCGGTTTCACTCATTCTTGCCGTTTAGAGCATCACCGAACCGCAGCCAGGATGACGGAGGCGGAGGCGTTGGAGAAGAGACAGCACAAGTCCGAGAACGGCAACGCAGTTGCAGAGGCTCCCAGAGATGATGATTTTGACCACACATATAAAGAGAACGAGGGCCCCAAACCTCCCGTTATCATCGTATGGAAAAATGTTATAATGATGGGTCTGTTGCATATAGGTGCACTGTACGGAGTGCTCCTCATCCCTTCAGCATCTTTTTTGACCTTGCTTTGGTGTAAGTAAAAAAAAAAAAAAAAAAAA